GCCCTGGCTGGCTGCAAACCACCATCCTCTTGATCTCTGCCTTCTGAGTAGCTAGGGTTACAGGTGTTAGCCACCAGCGCCCAGCTCCCTGGGAGATTTTTTTCAGAGTCCTTTGGTATGATTTTAGGAACAGTGTCTAGGTTGTGATTGGATGGCAGGAAGAGAAACATCAATGTTCAGAGGCCCTTGAATTAATGTGAAGTTGCTGATGTGAAGAATTGCTTATTTTCCTGCAACATTACAAGCCAGACACTGAAGAATAAAATAGCATTCTTTCTGAAAAAGCAGAGGGATATTCTAGACACCTAGTGGGCTCTCTTACTTTGATTTATGTATGTGATAATTTTCTGACTCTCTGAGTTCTTTCTTTCTATTTGCATAGCTAATGTTAGCTGGGAGATTGGTGAAGGTGTATGTATTGAGAACTTAGTGTGCCAAGCCCTATTACATGCATTATCCTATGTAATGTTTACAACAGACCTTTGAGACCACTATGCTGGTCGTCCTTATACTATTGATGAGGAAACTGAGGCTCAGAGCAGTTACATAACTGGCCAAGGTCACAGCTAGCAAGTAGTAAGGATTGGGTTTCAGCTCTGGATGTTCTGACTTCATGACCAGAGGCCTGTAGGTCAGAATGCTGCTTCTCTGTTTCCTGTCTTCTCTTAGCCTTAATGGAAATATTAAGTGTGTGCTGTGGTTCTTGTTAGGTTTTACGGATCATCTCCAAACTGACCTCAGAACCATCACTATTTCACCTGACACCCATAGCCACTGTGGAATAATAGCCTCTGTCAAATCTGCACTTTTCTCCTTTTTTTTTTTTTCCATAAGCATTGTGTTTACTCTGTGTGTTGGCAGCAAAAACCAAAAAGGAAATGCAGAAAAAGCATCTTAACCGTTTTCATAATGTAAACCAAATGTTGGTGGTGTGGGTGAGCTCTTGGGAGGAAAGGCACTATATAAATCTGACAAATAAATAAATAACTGGATCTTTAAATAAACTGGCACTGAAAAAGCCTTACTCGGTAGTCTGACTCCCTTTGCTCACCAAATGTAAGTCCATTACGCTGGAGCTCTGATGGGATCATTGGGGTGGGTTGGGGGTGGGGGAGGCTTGTCAAGGACTGAGCTGTTCCTCCTTTGGGAATGATTGCCTGGTTTAGTAAAGAAGCAGCATCTTTGTCGTGGCTGTTTTATGTGGACAACACATTCTTAGATACTTCAAAAGGATTGCTGAGAGGGGAAGGGGGTTCAAATGAAGGTCAGTGAGTAAAGTTCACAGAATGTATTTTGAGGACAAGAACTGAATTACTTCCAGTCTCTGCAAATCGGAGCGATTATAACAGCAAGCTCTGAGAACCTTTCTTCCAAATATGTTGGTTTCATGACCAGCCCCCAAGATCCTCTTTGCCACTCAAAACAAACCAGTGCTGAACAGCCGCAATGACAGAATCTGTCCTGTGGACCATCCTTGGAGTAGCCTGGGGGAGGGGATGGTTGCTGGCTTCTGCCCAGATGGAAGTACCCTTTCCTGAGGCCATCCCAGGCCAGCTCTAGAGTTTCAGTCTGGAAGGTGAGAAGATGAGTACCAAGCGGAAGTGGGAGCCATCAGCCCTGCCAGCTGCAGAGGCTCTGGTTACAGAACTGAGTGGTATAGGCCATCTTGGAACCATCAAAGGAACTGACTTGCAGAGGTCACCTTTGAAGGTAACATGTAACATGGTGGCAGAAGGACATGGGGAGAGAATTTGGGAGGTGAACATTCTTGTTACTGTTCTTTCCTTTTGAATAATATAGAGTTTGGACACCTAATAAAAATAAAGCCTTAAGAATATCTTTGTGGTTTTGTTCTGAATGAATTCCCTTTAGGTTTGCAGTATGCTGCTGGTGCCAGTATTCTAAATGTCAAGCCTAAACCTGAGTTGCAAATTTGCACTTCTTCAGAGACCCTTGAAGGGTTTCCTTAAATAACAGCAACCTTGAAAATTGAATTCCTGACGAAGCTCTGCTGATGTGCACCTGGAGCCCCAGTGAGGGGCTCTCAATCCACTGAAACTTACGTAGCTTTGGTGTCTGGGATAAAAGGATATGAATATTATAATTGCTCAGGGATCAGGTTATAAGACTGTTTCACAATGCAGCTTGCAGTAGCATGGGAAAGACTCCCCCAAGAACATGTTGTGCCGTGCTAAACCCTGATCGAAACCCTGATTGAAACTGTTTTGTCTGTACCCATATCTCTGTCGTTTAAAATCTTGATGTTCTAGAAATCTGTTGGCCACCTGTTGCCACAGATTGATTCAAATCTAAGTCAAATTATTTGAGTACAGCTATTTATATGATTCATGCTAAAAGTAAGACCTAATGTTAGAAGGCTGTGTTAATTTTTTTCATTGAGGGGGTGGAAGTGTAGCTCAGTAACATAGTGTATGCTTTGCATGTGTGAAGTCCTAGGTTTGATCCCCAGCACCAAAAATAAAAATAAAAGCTAAAAACTTACTGAAATTATTTGTTCTGAATCCTTTATTTTCCTTGAACCCTGTTTCCTACTTCCTACCTGAGAAAAGTCACAGATGTTTTTCTTTATACACATAGGGCCTCATGCATGGTTTGTGGATTGAAGATCAGTTATCTCTTAACTTCCACTTCCACCCCCTCCTAAATTTATCCCACTCTGTCAAAGGTTAGGACTGCGGCAGAAGCCATACTTTATAGACATGATTGTATTTCACCATTCCAGAAGTATTTAAAGGATAATGAGTTCCATTGTCACAGATAGGGAAACAAATCCAAGCAATTTTGCCCTGTCACTTCTCTAGTAAGTGTCGTCACTTGAGGGTCTCAGACTTTCTCTTCCCTATACTACTATAACAGGCTGTGGGCATCTGGGTCTGTCAGCTAAAGAGTGTTAAGGATGCTCCTTGATGAATCACCAAACAAAACAAAACTAAAGAGTTTTTCTTGTTTTATCTTGTTATAAAAATAATGCATATGTATTGTTAAACTATAGCTGAGTGAAAAAGGAAAATCATCTAAAATCATAACCATCACGGAGACAAGCAGAGTTGCCATTTAAGTGTAAATCGTCCTGTGATTTTGTAGGACTGCCATAGTTATTTTTTTTTATTTTTGCAAAACTGACATTCCATGAATTGTTTAGCATTGCGCCTTAATACATGAAAAGTACCTTTCTAGATCTGTATGGGTTTGCATATTACATTATATTTAATAGTTGTTGTCATCTAAGTGGCCTTATCACAGTGTGCTTAATCAGTACCCTTATTAGACATGTGCATCAGTGACCATCTCTGTAGGTGTCTCTCATCATCTGTGATTCAGGTGCTGTTCATGTTGTTCATGTACCTGGCACAGAATTACTAGCTGCCTGCTCATCCTGCAGGTTAAGAAAACAATGTCTCTCTTTTCACTTGGTACTTTTTCTGATTACCAATGAAGTTAAACTTTTTGTTTGTTTCTGCCATTAGTATTTCTTCTTTAATGGTTTGCATGTTTGTGCCCTTTACCCGTTTTCCTACTAAGATGTTAATTTTTTTGTTGGTCTTTTAAAGCTTTGTCAAGCTGGATATGCTGGCACATTCTGCAATCCCAGCACCCAAGAGGGAGAGGCAGGAGGATGTTGAGTGTAAGGCCAACCTGGGCAACATAGCAAGACCCTGTCTCAAAAAATAAAGAAGGAAAAGCAAAAGAGCGATGTCAGCAGTATCAGCGTTGTTGTGTGCCTTAGGGATTTTCCCCCCAGTTTTACTTTTGGTTTTGTTTCTGGCATTTTCTGACTATTTCAGATTATTTTTTTTCCTCCCAGTTTGATGTTTTCCTTTTGGTTTTCTTTCTGGTGTTTTTGTTACACAGTGAGGTATGTCTGTTTATCTTGATGGCTTCTGCTGTTGTTATAATGCTTAGAAAAGTTTTCTCTCCACAATTATGTAAGCTTTCATACATATTTTCATATTATGATTTCACTTTTTTACTTGGAAATCTGTTATTCAGGAAATGTATTTTGGCCTGTGTAAAATGGGACCTAACTTTTTTTCCCTACTAACTGAAGATGGTGACTTTAACAAGTAGTATTTCGGAATATACTGGCAGTTTACAACATTCTGTTCAGTTCCTTTGATCTGCCAATCAATTTTTCATTCCTTGTATTACTGTTATAATTATTGTAGCTTTACAATATGTGTCAATACCTAACGAGTCATTATTTCTTTTCAAAAGTTATTTTGTCTTTTAGGCCATGTGTGGTGGTTCAGGCCTATAATGTCAGTACTCAGAAGGAGGATCACGAGTCTGAAGCCAAGCCTCAGCTATGTAGTGAGACCTTGTCTCAAAAGAGAAAAAAATTTTTTCATCTTTTAACTAAAATTTAGAATCATCTTGTCAAATTGATTGGAAAGGCATTTTCTTTTAAGAATAATTTTCAGTGAATCAGCAGCTTCAAAGCATTAAATATTTTCTCTTTAGATCTTCTTTCCTCAGAAGACAATTTCTTCTCCCTCCTTCCCTCCCTCCCTGCATTTCCTCTTCTCCTTCAGATAGGATCTAATTATGTAGCCAGGCCTGGAACTCACTGTGGTAGCTCTAGGCTACCCTCAAACTTGATGTACTCCTGTCACAGCTTCCTGAGTGGTGGCATTATAGATGTGTGTTCACAACACCTGGCCCTAAAAAATAATTTCAGGATTTTATTCTTCTATGATCTGTACATTTCCTAATCATTCCTAGGAATTCTATGTTTTTGATTGCTACTCTGGATGTGTTTCTCTCTCTCTCTTTTTAATATATTTTCTAACTGGGTAAGAGTATAGACTTTCAGTTTAAAAAAAATTCATCCTCTACAAGTGACAGAATAAACGAAGTAGTGACTAACATGTATTATGCTAGTTGCAATTATTTGGTCTTCTACATTCAGATGTATAGTCTGTTCACAGTGAATATGCATCATGTCTTAGTTAAACAGTGTAACTTCTTTCTTCTTACAGATTTCAGAGACAACTGTCTGAACCCTGCCACCCCTTCCCGCCTCAGTCAGGAGTTCCTGGAGATAATCGCCCCAGTTACCACCGACAGATGTCAGAACCTATTGTCCCTGCAGCTCCCCCACCCCCTCAGGGATTCAAGCAAGAATACCATGACCCGCTCTATGAGCACGGGGTTCCTGGGATGCCAGGTCCCCCAGCACACGGGTTCCAGTCACCAATGGGAATCAAGCAGGAGCCCAGGGATTACTGCGTTGATTCAGGTTAGCTCAAAATCCTGCCACTTGTTTCTTCATTCTCCTACTCCTCTGTCTGATCAGTATTGGGTGTCTTCTATCTGCAGGGATTTGTGAATAATCTTATGAATTGTGAATAACTTCTTAGGAATTGCCCTCAAGGACTAGGTGTGTAGCTCAGTGGGTAGAGCATGAGAACCTGCATCCCATTCCCAGCACCACCGAAAAAAGAAAGAAAAGATTGCTATCAAAGAACATATGAGTTAGTTAAAGCAGACACGTTTGTGCATAACTGAGCGTAAAACAAAACAGAAAAGCAATGGTGATGGTAGAAAGTGCAGTAGGTATTCAAAATTGATATTAAGTACACCTCTGAGTCAAGCCTAACAGTTCAGTCTTGGCTGGTGCCTATTTTAAGACCTATCAGCATTAGGCTCCCTAGACACAAGGAACACTATTTTAATGCTGTCCCTAGTTTTGTGGCTTAGTTGTTTTTTTAATCCAACAGACTCATTAAACTCCCAATTTAACTATAAAAAAGAGAGTTCCCACATAGGGCACAATTCTGTTCTTGAAATGAGCTTTGTTCTGAGAAAGTACCTGATGTTGCATAGCTGTAGGGGGGACTGAATACACTGTGGAAGAGCCTATCTTACTAGTTGCTTCATGGAATTCACTGGTCTATTGCAATGCTTGCAACTGGGAAATCCTTGTGTCCCTCAGCAGTTGCTGGCATACATGGGGAGAAGTATAACATGTGAGGGCGCCTATTTGGTTAGAGGATACCTCCTGCCTAGGAACTTCAGCACATGAAAAGGTGTCTGACCTCCCCTCCCCCACCCCCCACCCCCACTCACAACTCATTCACCGCCTACAATATTGTATGGGCCAGGTGTATTAAATGAGACTGTTAGGGGAAAAGAGAATTGGAATTTTGCAGCTAAGACATTTAGAAACTATTTTGTCTTTGTTTTCCTCTTCCCTTTTCAGAAATTACTAAAACTTTTTTTCACTTTTTTTTTTTTTTCAGCACTGGGATTTGAATTCAGGACCTCATACTTGCTAGGCAGGTGCTTTTACTGCTTGAGCCACTCTGCCTGCCCAGTTAATGCTAAAGAAATCAGAGGGTAGTTGGTTGGTTGGTTGGTTGGTTTTCACTATTCCCCTTAGGCCCGTTTATTAAGACCCTGGAAAGGTTGAGGCAATTAAGAACTCAATGACTTTTGCAAAAGGCACAGGGTATATAGAATTTGCTGCGGTCTTCTCTGAGATGACACATAGATTGCTCCATTCTGGCAGAAACTGGTTATAAGAAAGGCTGAGAAGTTGGACAGAAGGAGACATCTGCTACTTTATGACAGAAAAATTAAGTCAGGTATTGATAACTTGTAAAATGGTCATTGGCATTCCCCTTGAATACTTTGATGTATTTTTCTCAGGAGTAGGTATGATGGGCAGCATTTTTCCCTTTGTGATTGACATTTTAATTTTTCCTGATTATTTTTCACCCCACCCTACTCCCTTGAAGCAAGGCACTCAACAGACGTTACCACATCTGTAACCTTTGATCTTAGTGGTATATTCCTGGGCGGGGGGAGCTTTTGTCCCATATGGGCACAATCCAGTTCACTTTCCTCTCTCTCATGGATACCTTGACACCATGATGCCTGAAAGAGATCACCTGAGTGTGATTTGGTTTCAGCATAACAGTCCCAACATGAAGAAAATGTGATTGCAAACTAGTCTCCACCCAGTTCTCCTTCTAGCCTTGTATCTTCAGATCTCCCGACCTCTTTAGCCTAAAAATACCCTCATCCCTTAGAACAGAATTGGTGTGACCATCAACAGTAAAAGTGAACAAACTGAGAAAGATGTGAAGCAGTCCGAAGCAGTCCTTGTTTCCCTCCTCACCCTAAAGCCCAGGAGGCCAAGCTTGGCATTTTGAAAGCGTTTCTTTTCCTACCATTAGCTCTCTCGTGAGATTTGGTGCTAACTCGTTTCTAAAATGAGTGACTTACGCAGGGGAGGCATCATTTTTTTTCCTCCCACGACTCTTGATGAGGAGTGTGTTGCTTTCCATTGGTGGGTATAGTGTTTCCATGTTGTTTATCAGGGAGATAGCTCTTCCAGGACAAGGCCAAAAAGACTTGACCCTGGAGAATGAGAAAGTTAGGGGATTTACTACCAAGCTATGGCTTCCCTACCATGTGCTCCTTCTGTATCTGTGTTTCCCTTTCAGAAGTGCCTAACTGCCAGTCATCCTACATGAGAGGGGGGTATTTCTCCAGCAGCCATGAAGGTAAGGAGTTTGCTTGGGAAAAAAACAAAAACAAAAAAACTCAGGCTTAAAATTGCAGTTTCTAAGCTGAGATTTGAGATCAGATGTTATAGATTCCTCAGCTCATGAAGGTGAGAGCTGATTGATGATAACTGTCCGTTATTTTGTGTAGAGGGTTTTTTTAAGACATAAAGCATTGTGGGCTGCTGTATTTTTTTCTTTTTTGGTGGTACTGGGGATTAAACTCAGGACCTTATGTTGCTAGACAAGCTCTCTACCATTTGAGCCACACCCCAAATCCTTTTACTATTCTTTTTTTTTTTAACTTTCGCTTCTTTTAGATTTGTTTTTTAGGTAGGGTCTTTAGTGTTGGTTGGCCTTGGATCTTGACCCTCTTGTCTCCATCTTCCAGGTAACTGGGATTATAGGGATGTGCCACAGTGTCCAGCTCTTCCTTAATTTTTAACAGCAGTGACCTTAATTTTTAAGACTTTGTAGGACAGGTGAAGCTAAAGGGAACTAACTTGTGGTGTCCACATTTTCAGACATCAGCCTAAACTGAAGTATAGGGATTATGTCAATACGGGTGACTTTATATGGTTTGAAGGACACTTTACAAAGAATTCCTAAGCTGGGTGTGGTAGTGCCTACCTGTAATCCCAGCACTTGGAGTCAGAGGCAAGAGGGTCATGGGTTTGAGGCCAACCTAGGCTACATACATAGCAAAACCCTGTCTCAAGAAAATAAACGAAACATGTTTCTAGGTTTTACTTCATTTGGGTGGATAGGTCCTCGTTGCAATTAATATATGATAAATGATTAGTCCTTTTATTATGGGTGTAAAGTTTTAAGTTTTCTTTTCTGGCCTTGAGAGTCTGGAGAGGAGATGAAAGGAAGGAGGAGTTGGAGGTTGATGAGGCTGTATAGAAGTATATTGTGTACAAAATGCTCTACAGAAGGACACAAAAGAAATGTTTCTAATTGGATAAATTAAAAATATCTCAGAGGAGAAATTAGAATTTTTTTTTTAATTTCCTTTATTCATATGTGTATACAATGATTGGGTCATTATTCCCCCCTGCCCCCTCCCTTTCCCCCCACCCCCTCCCTTGAGAAATGAGAATTTAAAGCCGGTTTACCCATAAGCCTGAATGACCACATCTTGATGTTCATTTGTACAGAAAGATGATTTTATGTCAAGGCTGTGCTGTTGGTCAAATTCTTACACTCAGTTTCTTTGGGACCAACTAATTGAGCAAGCCTCTAAAGTAATGTCACTATGATTAGGAGCAAAAGCAGTGGGCAGGGTTGAGCCTGTGATTTTGCCTTCATAAGCACTGACCTAAGTGGGATAAGAGTAACTTAGAACAAAATAAGATGCATAGATGTTCTGTAGTACATGGCTTCAAGGAAGTGATCAGAATGAAGCTGGAATCTCAACATTTCCTCAGAATTTGTTTTTGAGCTAGTTTTATTTAAAATACAAACTTTTGTAGGTTATTCTACCATAAGCAATAAATATTGGTTGCACAAATACAAAGATAAAAAGTAAATCTCACCGTCCAGAATCATTAATTTGCTATATAGTTGCTATATGGTCTTCTACACTTTCCTGTTCATGCATAAATACAGCATTGTGCAGATCATAAGAGGACTCATTTTATAGTTTATTCTTTCTTTTAGTAACAGTCATTCACTCATTAAATGCTTAATACATTTCAAACCCTGTTATAAGCTCTTCATATTGATTTTAAGTCATTTAATTCTCATAACAGTCCCATAAGGTAGATATTTCTACTAGTTACATAGTGTAATGAGGAAACTGAGGCTCAGAGAGGTTAAAAGATTTGCTTAAAGTTGTATGGCTGGGAAGGTAGAGCCAGAATTCTGCGAGAGGCCCTCATGACTCCAGAGCCCACATTCTTCATCTTCCTCCACGCTGTACAGCCAGTGTAGTACCACAGTTCTCTCTGATTTCCTCCTTAGTGGCTACATAGTACTTATTGCATGGGATGCATTTAGCTGATCACCTCTTACTTAAAATGTAGATGTTTCCAGATTATTCACAAAACAATTTGAAGTGAATGTTCATCTAACTAAATCTGCTGACATTTCCTTAATTCTTGAAGCTAAATCCGTGAAGTTTCTAGGTTAAAAGGATATGACATTTTGGAGGCATCTGCTGCCAGTTTTTGTGAGGACTCCTGTCTTGTTATTTTAGTGCATCATCACAGATCTTTTTAAATTTAGGATTTCTTTTTAAAAAGTAATTAGACGGGAATCCAGAGGTGGAAGGGGGTCTTTTTTGGGGGTGAGGGGATAATTGAATTGTCAGAGCTGTAAGGAGCACTTGAGAATGACTAGCTCCTGCACAATGGATGACAGTAGCAAAGTCAGCTCATTTGACAGAACGGGGCCCTGTTGGGGACTGAGATAAAATTTGTGAGGCATAAAAGCCTCAAGAATTAGGTTCAGGGCTTCTGAGCAAGGAAGGGTTTATGTTGTTTTTGCTTGTTTGTTTTTTCTTAGAACAGAAGTATATCTCTGTCAAATACATCTGTCCTTAGATATTTTAGAATAGTGGAATTCCCCAAACCTGTGGCATCAGCCATACTTGGAACTTGGAAGTACAGATTCTCAGGACTCACTTGAGACTTACTAAATCAGATGCTCCAGAGTGGAGTCTAGCACACTGCTTTCCCAAGCTCTGCTGGAAATCCTAATGACCTGGAGACCTTAAAGTTTTCGAGACTATCAAAGATAGAGAGTATCAACTTTGGCTGCTCCTTAGACTCACCTGGGGGCTTTTAAGTTTGTTTGATGTCTAGGTTTCACCCAGGGCAATGAAATGAGACATTCCAGGGTCGGATCTAGTCTATCTAAGCTTGAGAGCCACTGGTCGGTAGCATTTTAGGTGACATTCAAAAGAGCTGATAACCATGAAACATTGGCTGGTTTTTGTGAGTGATTAGTTTATAAGAGTGGCTTCTATAATGAGCTGCTTCCTGGTGACTGAGTTAGATGGAAGAACAAGTGTTGTTACCCTGGGTACTCTGTGATCCTCTTGAGTGAGTGTTCAGCCCTGGGTGGGCAAGGGCTGTCTACTAGACCACTGGCTGTGATAGGCACAGCTGTGTGGGGCTCTCTTCCAGGTTCCTGGATGTTTATACAGCAGCAGTTGATGTCTGCAGCAGACAAACTAGGAGGGAGTGGGAGAAAAGAGAGAGGAAAATGTTTTGCATAATTACAACATTTAGGAAAGAGCATGCTCTTAAAGGAAATATTTTTAGTAAGGTATTGAATTGCTTACTGTACACAGACTATCTGGTAAGTTTGTGTGTGTTTCCTCCCCACTCTTTCCTATCCCTTTCCCTGACCCCATACACATTGAAGAAGTTAGTTTCAAAGAGATGAGCATTTTTAATTGTTCTAAATTACTCTGGCATGGTTTTTCTATCCTTATTATGCAGCCTTGACCACAGATGCCAGTGAAACAGTTAGCAAAACAAGTGTTTCTGATTGGCATCTGTGATTGCTAAGATAGCCATCCTGCCTTAAGCGTTCACCTGGAATCCTTACGTAATGTTTTGGATCTTTCATTTCCACTTGCTCCTCAAACAGGTTCTTCCTTCCTGCCACCTTTATTTAAGTGATTTGATGGTTGTGGTCACAACAGAAATAACTGCTGGTGCAAATTCAACTGACTTGAATTCACTTAAGTCAATAGTATCTTCCAGATGTTTTAGAGGACTACATGTGGCAATAACTAGAAACCACAACGTGCACCCAAACGATACTTCTTATAGAAAGGCCTTCATCTGATTAGTTTTGAAAAACAAACAGAGAATTTAATCTAGATTTATGGGGTTGTGAAACATACTATCCTTATCTTGGAGGAAAAAGGCTCTAAAAATAATGCAGCAAGTTTGACAGGTGTGTAAACTTTTAAGTAATTCACTTAGAATGACTTTATAATGAGGCCATTAGAACATCACTGGAATATCAAAATACAAGTGGAAGATCAGGAAATACATAGCTTCCTGGCAGCCAAGGTAAAAGCCATGATGCATATGATGTCTTATTGATAATGCAAAGTATACCAACTTGTCATAAAAGTCAAACAGTTCTCTAGTACCAAATTACAAAATACATTTTTCAGGAGGCACTCAATCCCTGACTTAAAAGTTAGCTTGTTTTCTTAATTTTTTTTTAATAGAGACTGCAGAATCTCTTATTCAGCTATGTATTGAGCACTTCTTAAATGCGAGGACATGAAGACACTCAGGACATGGTCCTTATCCTCAGGGAATTTAGCCTCCATGGCAGAGGATGCGAGATAAAGCACTCACACTATCCAGTGAGTTGCTTAATGGTCCTTATCACGATATGCAATGGCTGTGTGTTTTAAGCTATCATTTATACTTACTTACATATGAGGAGCTATTCTTGGCATCCTGCTGTAAAGATAGAGCAATAGATCAAGGGAACAGACTATAAATTAACTCATTCAGTTCTCCTAACAGGATTATGAGATGGGAATTATTCTTTTCCCTGATGAGGAAACTGGAGCACAAAGGAATTAATTTATTCAAAATCACACGGTTAATTAGGATAAGCCAGTCTGGCTCCAGGGCCTACACTCTTTAACTTCCCCACTACACTATATCTCCTTTCTTTTCTTTCATTGTCTGCCTCCCTCAGCTGAGATATCCACTCCATGAGAACAATGTCTACATCTATATTTTTCTGGCTACCTACCCACTTCTAACCCAGTGCCTGGCCTAAATAGTGGATTCAATAATAAATAAATGCCAGTAAAACACATTTCCTTTGATATAGTTAAGCAACAGAGAAATTATGCCTGGGGCTAAGGAAATAAAGATGAATAATACAAACCACAAAATAAACTCGTTTCCTACAAGTTGGGCTGGTTTTTTCTAGGCCCAGGTTTCTTAAAATGGTACGGGTCCCAAGAAGCTCCTTGATCTAGGCTGATTGTAAAGAAAAAGAGAATAGTGGCATCACATGGCTTCTTTACCCATGGATATTTCAGTTGATAATTATTTCCTCGAAAGTCTAATAAAGTCCTTTATTGCAGAGCATTTCCTCTGCCTATCCCCACTGTACATCCAGTACACTTAACACCTGTACTCCACATCCATATGGAACGGCTGAGAGCCAGACCCAGGGAGGCCTCAGTTATCAGACAGTAGCTTCTGGGCCATGCTTCTGAGAAATACGCTGGGAAAGGACTGTATGCTACAGTCCTGATACCTCTGAAGACAGACTGGACCACAGGGAACACGGGATCCCATCAAGGAGTTCTGTTAGCTGGCTGTGGTTTGAACCACTGGTCTGACTTGACAGTGTTTCTTGTGACATGGTGGTTAGCACTGAATGCATGTCAAGGGTTTATGGGGGACAGTGACAGGCCATCCCGCTCCTTGACCCCTTTAAGGATGCCTTACCTTCCTTTCACTTTCTTTGAGTGCATATTTGGATCAGTCATTTCCCCTATCGTGACTTCTGTTGTGGCACCTATACAGTGAATTAAGTTTTATAGCTAGAAAGTCTCTTCAGATTCCTCACACTATTTCTCATAATACCTCCAGCTTGCTTTGAACTTACTGCTCTATGCAGTCCTCTATAGACGCAAATCTTTATCCATTTGGGTGGCATTCTTTACCCTCCAAACTCTTTAATAATCAAATGAGGTATGTGGGTAGCCTGGACAAGTTTGTAGGGAACATTGAAATTATGAATAGCTAAAAGGAAAATGACCAGAGTATGTACAGATAAATCCATCAAGCCACACTGACCCATGCAGACCTCATAACCAAGATGTGAAGGAACCTACTGATGAGTCAGTGCTTCCCGAAGCCTTAGCTCTGATAGCAGGAATTGATGGTACTCCAACCAGGACACAGGTGATTATTCAGAACTTGAACACTTAAGTCCTTTGGAAGTCCCCAAAAATGCAGTCTGGCATAGGTACAATAATAGGGCTTAGGACCCGAAATAATGTAATCCCATCTTAGTCCTTAAATCCATAGTTTTGTACAACATAGAGAATCTGTTAAGCATTGTGGTCTTTTTCTTTAAACCCCTTCAGGTTTTTCATTTGAAAAAGATCCCCGGTTATACTTCGATGACACTTGCGTTGTGCCCGAAAGACTGGAAGGTAAGATGCCCATCCAACGCTTGTTGCTAAGTGAGAAAGTCGGAGATGTCAGAACTCCTCAGTCTCACCAAGTTACAATGGTTAAATCAGCAGTAACTGCGCCTTTTTTTTTCTAAACCACCTGAGAAACTCCAGACTCAATTATTATATATGTGTCTTTGTCCCAAACAGGCAAGGTCAAGCAGGAGCCCACCATGTATCGGGAGGGGCCCCCCTATCAGCGGCGAGGCTCCCTTCAGCTCTGGCAGTTCCTTGTCACCCTTCTTGATGACCCAGCCAACGCCCATTTCATTGCCTGGACAGGCCGAGGCATGGAGTTCAAGCTTATAGAACCAGAGGAGGTGAGCCGTGGATACTGAACTCAAGCAATTTTTGTTGTTGATGGCAATGTTTGTCATTTAAATCTTCGTTGAGGGTTTTAACTTGTTATTCTCATTTCCTGCATGGCCAGTGGGCTTAGCAAGTGTCCTTCCTATTAGTTGGACAGTTTACAATACCTGGACAGGCAGAATTCTTTTAATGTAGTACACATTAAAAGTATTTGTAACACTCCAGCAAAAACCATGGGGTGAGGCCATGAAGACTCAGATCCAAATAGGAAGTGTTCTCTCTTTTGTAAAGTCTTTTCCAAGTGTTTCAGTGACACAGACTTACTGTCTAAGCTCTTATATGTTATAACCTGTATCTGAAGCTGCAGAAACATAGAGTATGACATTTTGGTAATGACTTTAACGTGGAAAAATAAAATTATTAGAGATGGGTTAATCTTAAGAACTTAAATTTTTTTTAAAGGATGTTATGTAGCATCACAGTCATTGAAATGTTGACACAAATCTTCATTATTTTGTTAATAGAAAAAGAAACATTGTTACTATCTTTTAACCCAGAACCATTGACAGAAAGGCATAGGACAGAGCCAGTGCCATTTCTTCACTGGAGAAGATACACCATAGAACCCCTTTCTGAATACTACATAACAAAGTAAATTAAGTCAGGCTCTCAGAGTAACATTCCAAAGGGAGTGACTTTAATTTTTTTCTTTGCTTTAGTCTCTAAAAAAAAATGGTAAATGGAAAAGAAATAACTCCCCACCCCCACCACCAGCTGACACACACTTCTTCCAGTAATGTATACTTAGGTTTGTGTGTCACACCAGCAGTGAAAGATATCTTTGGGTTGGGTGTAACTGAAATGGAACCAGCACTCTTAGAAAGCTTTTGAACAAGAACTGCAGTTTTAGCTGTTCGGTTACATTAACACACCAAGGGGATAAGTTGACACGGGGTTAATAGCAGGAGGTAACAACCTGGCACATGGTTTGGAAAAGAAAATGTTCTGCAAGTTGAAATGGGAAAAGGTGAAGGAAGTATGGACCCATGAAGAATCCTATATTGGAAGAGAATAAGGCAGCCTTCCTTGAAGCCAGTGTGAAGGATAAGTGAATGGTATTCCCTGTATTATACTCATTATGCAAATGATCCATGTCAGCATCTAGTGTACAGACAGTGTCTCTAATTAGGCTCTGTCTACCTTCAGAGCCAGAGTTTGGTGCCACTGTGTTTTCCTAAGCATTTCTTTCTGGCAAGTCGTGTAGAAATGGAGCCTTGTCTTTTTCAGTTTCTAGCCCTACTGGAGAGCCACCGGCCTACCTAGGCCCTTTCTTCACCTCACTTTCCTATCCTAATAATGTGACCTGGTTTATGTGAGGCTTGAGAAAAGCATGTCACCTCCACTCATCAAGGCCTTTTGAGACTGGTGGAGTGGCTCAAGTGGTAGAGCACCTGCCTCAGGCCTTTTGAAAGTAAGTCCTTCACGTGGGCAGCCCTTACTGATTTATCTCGTTTCACAAACAGGAGCTTTTATTACTTTATTGCCACCGCCTCAGGCCTGAGCACAGGCTGTCCAGCTGCAGGTAAAGCTGGTTATGACCTTTTGCAAGGCTGTTATTGAATCTTTTGCTCTCCTACCAGTGGTAAAGAAAATGATGAACAGATGGCAGAGGGCCCCTGCTTTCTTACTTAATAAAGGAGCTAATGTTAACCCAGAATACTCATAAATGCCAAGCAGCCGACTTACGTGTATGAGGCCTTTGGGGACCTTGAGCTTCTGCTGGTGGGGCAGCTTTGTCTCTTCAGGAATTGCTCTTTCCACCCAACCTTCCTGAGCTCCAAATGCTCCATTCTTTTAACCCAGAACCCACTGGCTTCCTTAGTGCACTTTAGCCTTGGGACATGTAATGTTTGTTGTGTTTTGCCCTCTACTCCTTGAATAACTGTGAAGGCCCTGTCTTGTTAATGTCAGGAAGATATCAACTCCTGGAAAAAGCTGTTAAGAAGTTTCATAGGGGAGCTTGAAGGGTGAAGCGGAGGAGGAAGCTGTTGGGGACGTAATTGTAGGCAGCTGTGTGGCTGAGTAGTGCACTCTGGGTAATTATCCATAATATCCATTACACTGTGCATGGAAATTGTGGTTTTAGAACTGCGTTTTGGCAGGCCCCCTAATCAAATGTCTTTTGATAGTCATCCAGCTTAGCACCCTCTCAATTATGACTGACTCGGCTTTAATCTGCAGCCATTTTAACTGTGAATCTGCATTAATGAATATTTTGGGGGGTAGGGTTGTTTGTTGAACATGTGGTGGATAACTGATGCCATGGGAGGTTTTAAAGGATGGGCTGCTAGAAAGAGCTGCTCCCTGTGCTGTGACTGCTCTCTCTTTAAAGGGGAGGAGGACACAGATGGATTTTTTTAACTCCTTCATCCTCATCCCCCAAGATGTGTGCCCCTAAGTAACTAATGAGAGAGTTGAAAGAAAGAGCTAGTAATAACCTCTTGCCCCCCCGCACAGAAGAGGGGTAGCCCTAGTCTCCAGCTGCTTTGGAGCTCTGCCCCATCTTGCATTACTACAGAAGGAGCAGCCTGGTGAGGGCTACTACTAAATCATAGGGCTCTGGCCCCGGAGGATGAGTCAGTAACTATGGCTACCAGTGCTGCTTTGAAATCTGCGCATATGCAAAACCTCTCTCCAGTGAGCTGTTGCATATGCAGTGACAACAAAGAGAGGTCACTGCTGAAGATGAAGAATATTCAAACTTGTTTTCCATCACTGAGCAGAGGAAAATGGGGAGGCTGGGCTTCTCTGAAATTTCCCATGTCACTTGTGGTAGATGGTGGTTAAAGATTAGCTTCAGAGAGTGTCATTTCTGCTGAACAGTGCAGAAGACTTAGACTGAGGTACCAGATTCCCCTTCTTTCCACTGTTCCCATTGGTTTAACATGTTTATCCTCTAACCAGGTTGTAATTTTTGGTGAATTTTGCCTTTTTGATTGTTTTGAAGATGGACTTGAATGGGTACAACATGGAGAAAAGAGGAGAGCCAAGAGCAGGTGTGTGCCAGTATGGCATAAAGCAAACAGAAATTTCTAGCAATGCAGAGTAGAATTGTGTCTACCAAATTATTACATACAAATTATTGTAATATAATTAAGACAGATGCATTCTTCTTTGCCAAATCATTTCTGGTATTTACTAAAGGTCATTTTAGAATCCTGAATTCAGGAGATGTGGCTTTCATTTTGTCCAAATATTTTAATGGAATACATTACATGAAATGCTGGTTTCTCTACTTTCCTACTCCATGTTCAACATTTGGCTTTAAAAAAGAAAGCAAATGGAGGAACTGGGCTTGGTGGCACATATCTGTCTTTAATTCTAACACTCCAGAGGCTGAGGCAGGAAGATTGTGAATTCAAGGCCAGCCTGGGCTACATAGTGAGAACTTATTTCCAAAAAAGTTTTTTTTAACTTAAAGGAATATGGGTTAACTTGTTTTTTAAAAAGTTGTTTTTTGGTGGGTTTTTTTTCCCCTCCCTGTTACTAGGGCTTGAATTCAGGGCTTACTCTTGAGACACTCCATCAGCCTTTTTTTGTGGTGGTTTTTCCGAGATAAGGTCTTGTAAACTATTTGCCCGGGCTGGCTTCAAACCTATCTCTGCCTCCTGAGTAGCTAGGATTATAAGCATGAGCCACTAGCATCCAGCTTAAAAAGTTCTTAAAACTGACCTAAAATGTTCAAAACATGACCTCTGATTTACATACATTTTAAGACCCCAGAAAATTTGCATTTCCATAGTTGTTGTTCTACTTCCCTTGCCAGTCTTCTCATAAGTTAGGTTTTGAAAACTGAGATGTTTCAGAACACAAATTGCTTGGCTGCCCTGAGAATTGGGTAGGTTCTACTAGGAAGTTTTCCTGCCGTTAAGGCCTCTTTGCCCAAAGCTCCAGTTACATCTCATCACTGCACCTCAGGTGGACTGGGTTGGATATAATGCACTTCAAAACTGCTTGGGAAGGCCTGTTAATTTTTCATTAAGTGGATAATGATGCTACATGTTTTAATGTCTATGCTGCAAGTCTGCCGGGAGCAGGGGATTGGATGGCAGCAGATTGAAATGATCTGATCTCCCTTAGTCCATGAGCTGCAATAAGTAAACATCTCCAGCCCCTCTCCAATCTTATTAGAATTGAACTTTTGCTCTGCTGGCCCATTAGCAACTCACTTGTGTGTTTCTGATGTTTCAGGAATGACCATTCTAATTATTCCTTATTGACTGCTATAGAAACCATAGCACTTAATGGCAACATGTTAATGGTCCATGAGTATTGGTCAATAATTCATACACAGAGAGGCAGGAGGGAGCCTGCATCCTCTGGGACATCAGCCAAACCCTCTGCAAAGTGCTAGGATTGTTCAACTCCTAGTGCAGTTGTAACTGAATCAACACCTTGGTTCAGCATTTGGTCCTGAGGGAATTAAATGCTTTCCCTTCCAGGTCAGAGAAATGGATCATTGGCCAAAGCAGTCAGGTTATATAGCTCCAGCTCCTGGGATGGGGTGGAAGTGTAGGCCCAGGGAATGTGTTTCCATTGCTCTTTGCTTCCTTGTTGCTTCAGGTTGCTCGGCGTTGGGGCATCCAGAAAAATCGGCCAGCCATGAACTATGACAAGCTGAGCCGTTCTCTGCGCTATTACTATGAAAAGGGCATCATGCAGAAGGTGAGTAATTACAAGACCCATGTAGACCATTGTGATCACTTTCAAAGAAAATGTCCCAAGGCTTCTGTAATAAGACCATTTATACTAGCGAGGAGAAAATGTTAGGCTCAGGTGATTCTGTGGTAGGAAAGAGTCTTAAAAACACAACCAAAAGAAGGGTCCAATGGTATGGTAATGGCAGCTTTGCTATTCTTGGGTACAAATGACAAGTTGCATGTGAAAGACACAGTAGGAAAATTAGCTTCCTGCTTTGTTTAAACTGCTTCTCATTATTATTGCCACTGTACACTCTTGCCTCAGTCTTCCACAAAGTGACTTGGGGTTCGGATTTCAGTTAAAACTGGCCTTGAAAAACTGTATAGGGATGATTAGTTGTATGCTTGTGCCACCCATAAGACTTGCTTTGTTGACAACATTTGTCAAGTTTCATAAACACAGTCCCTTGTGCAGACATGTTACGGTGACTGAACGTAGAAAGTGTCACCACAGAGCTGGAGGTGTGGATCAAATGAAAAAAGTGTCATAAAATCAGTGTTAGGATCCATATAAGCTGGGCATGGTGGCACACACCAGTAATACCAACACTTGAGAGACTGAGGCAAGAGGTCATAAATTCAAGGCCAGCCTAGGCTGCAGAGTGAGATCCTGTATTCACCCCCTTCCCCCCAAAAAAAGACCTATGGGGTGGTGGCAATATTGCTTCTGCAACCAGCCAGTAATATAAATATTTTAATCTAAAATGCTTACTATTATTATTATTATTATTTAATGAACTGTAGCAGCATTTCCTTCTGCATTACCTAACTGGAGCTGATAGTGAGGTTTGACTTTCAGGGGTCTGTGCTCCTTGCACCCTTACTAAAGAACTAGCAGAGAACAGCAGTCATTGACCTAGACAACTTGTTAGCTACCAATGAGGCAGGCCCTCCAATAATCAGGACCTTCTGGTTCTCAATGCAGAAAGCACATCTAAAGGCAGTCATCACCCCGTCAGTATAGCACAACCAAGTAATGTGTAGATTAAAACTCCGGGTATACCCAAAAGCAATTCTGCTTGGCTTTGGAATATATGTAAAATTTCCACACAGTCTATCAAATTTCTAACCCTTCAGAATAACACATCCATTCTGTGAAGACTGTCAAGTTTGGAGGTCATCCCTGCATTTTAGCTTTGCATCCTCAGATCTCAGAACCCCGGACACCAGCCTCAACAGGCTCTCTAAGCTGTCAGTGTAAGACAAACATTATAAGACAGAAAGTGACAGTGTTCTTCTGAAGGAACCGATGTAGTACGAATTTGAAATTCAAACTCTTTAATTGCTAAGCTGTGGTATCCGCAAAACTTGTAGCAGGTAATAGGTCCTAAAGGTTTCTTAAAGTACATCTAAGTAATTCAGATAATCACCTACTAATGAGCCCATTGGTTTTTGGCTTCCTGAGAGGTTGGTGACTTAAAACATTACTTTTCTCCCCTTGACTTCTTTGCTCTGCTCTAGCTGAGCCTTGAAAGCTGTGTTTTCTCACACAGGTGGCTGGGGAGCGATATGTCTACAAATTTGTCTGTGACCCAGATGCCCTTTTCTCCATGGCCTTCCCGGACAATCAGCGTCCATTCCTGAAGGCGGAGTCTGAGTGCCCCCTCAACGAGGAGGACACCCTGCCGCTGACCCACTTTGAAGACAACGCTGCTTACCTCCTGGACATGGATCGCTGCAGTAGCCTCCCCTATGCTGAAGGCTTTGCTTACTAAGTGGCTGAGTGGCCAAACCCTAGAGCTAGCAGTTCCCATTCTGGCAAATGAGGGCAGTGGTTTTGTTTGTGTTCTTGGCTGTTCCTAAAGCTTGCCCTTTGAGTATTATCTGGAGAACCCAAGCTGTCTCTGGATTGACACCCTTAAGGACCAATACCTTGGCTGGGGAGTGGGAACAGGGAAGGGCAGAAAAACACCAAAAGGCTGGTGCCTTGACTTCTGATTCTGACAGGATTTCTGAGAAGAGATGGAAATGGAGCCTCTTACCACCACGGACAATATATGCAAAGCAATACCTTGTTCAGTTAGTACCCACAAAATGGGTCCAGTGTGTGACAATCTGCATTGATCATGGACTACTAATGCCTTTACCCGCAGGGCTCACTTGCACACAATTTATTGAAAAAGAACCGCAAACCCATAAAAAGTAGGTAGGTCTGATTGGGGAGGCTCAGACTGTTAAGGCTTGAAATTTGAAGAGCTCTCTAGCTAGTCTGTAATGTTTCCCCTTGGCCTAAAAAGGGGAAGTCGGACAGCTGTTACCATCCATGTTCCCAACCAATGGCTACCCTTGGGAACCTTCCAGCCATGTGGTCACCAAGTAGAGCAAGCACCTCTCTTCCCAGTCACATGGCTGAAGTGGAGTGGCTTTGATTTTAAGGAGAAGGCGATTAAACACTTTTGTGACAGTATTTTGTTTGCTTTGATTCTGGGGATTGTTTTGTTTTGGTGGTGTTTGGAAAAACAGTTTAAATAAACGGATTTTTTAGTTTTGGGTATTTAAAGCAAAAAAAACAAAACACAAAACCTTTTGGTAACTGCACGTGTCCCTTAGGCAGGGCCGTGCTGCCTTCTGAAGACTCTGCAGCTTGAAAGGGGCTTTGCTGGGCTCTCTTAGCCGTGGTAAAAGCCTGGCTTTGTGCCTGCTTTGTGCTTTCTGCACCAGACAACCTGACGGAACATTTGCCCTGAGGTTGTACTTTTTGAAGTGTGCATGACCCAGCCTGGACAGCAAGCTTAGATCTGTTGTGTAGATCCCTGTGCTCACTAACATGCCGCTCTGGGAAGCAGATGTACATACTACATGTCATGTCCATTTGAAAACTGGTCACCCTGGCGGAACTTAGGATTCTTCCCTGGGCATGACTACATAACATTCATCGCTTGTTGTTTTTGTTTTCCTTTTTCTTTAAATCTTGGCTTTTAAACCCTGCCTCCTGATTCAGTACCGGTTTTAAAGACCTCCATGTGACACTGACAGATAAAACATGCGGCATCTTGTTCCCACCCCCCCCCTTTTTTTTTTAAATTCTGATTACTGTGTTATACTGGGAAGCTTCAACAACCAGGTAAAGCTATGTGGAAGTTGAACTCAGAATAGAGGAAAAGTGGGTAGGTAGTGGTAGTTACCTTGCTTCCTGCTCTGCTGGGTGGAATTTGTGTTCCCGTGACACTCCAGCTTATTAAGGACTCTGCTGTTCCTTGAATGTGCGGGACACAGTGGCTGACTCCGTGAGTGGGAGACAGCTGAATTGCTTTCCTCCTAATGGGGCGTTGCATGGTCCCTTATGACCAACAGCACACTTGTGAAGAGGCTCACAGGATAAAGAGGTGGATTTGACAGCTATGGAAACAAGATTTTCCTCTGTTGGAAGCTAATCAGCCCACAAACGGTGTCAAACCAAGCTTGGGCCTTTAATTTAGGCATCTGTGTACTTTAATTAAAAGGACTCTTTCTAAACCATATTTATAGCTTTCTAATGCTACACATAGTCTATACTAGACTGCATATTTATCCCAGCCGACTAGATATTATTTGTTGTAAATGGCTGTATAGATTGTTTCTCCTTTCTTATCTTGTTTGGGATTTTTTTTTTTTTTATGAATTTATGCTGTTTCAGCAAGTATGAAAATACTCCTCTGTAGCCTGAGCTGTAACCACGTGGCCTGTGCTGTCAGAGGACATAGGACAGTAGTATCACCATTGCATTCCCACTGGACTCATGCACCTCCCAGATGGTATTTGTTCTTTTCAGGGTTTTGGGGGATTTTTGTTTGGTTTGTTCTTTTCCAGAGTGGAAAGTCATACAGTGCAGAAAGGCTTTAACCCGCCAGTTGATTTGAAATACTTTCCCCTGCGCAGGGCTGTGTGCATCCTGCCAAGCTGCGTTATATTCTGTACTGTGTACAATAAAGAAGTTTGCTTTTCGTTTACCAAGTGCCTGAATCCTGCCTCTTTCTTACCCTCAGTGATCTAATTCTCAAGCAAGCAAAAGCCACCTGGCTCCTTCCCCACTTCCTACCCCTGCCTCTGAGCTGTTTAGCCTTACCAGTGGGTGATACAGTTGAAAGTAGTTGAGGAAAATGTTACCTGGAAATTCCAATTAAACATTTGATCCAAGGGGGTAAGGAGGTAGGAAGATCCTTTTCCCAGCCCATGGTGAGCTGAGATCACCTCATCCCGAGCCCATTCAATCACCAATTCTTAGTAATTTTTTTTTAAGCATAGCTCATTTGGACTGGGATTGTGCAAAAAGATTAGATAGGATGTAGGGATTTCAGAATTGTTCCAGCTCATCCCCTTAGATGGTCATTTGAAAACCATTACAAAGACCATTTCATGATTTTTTCCCTACTGGTTTTGCTTCTGACAAACATCTCACTAATGGTTGAGCCCTCAAAAAAGAAAAAAAAAAAAAAAAACAGCTTAGCTTGTATTTTTTTCTGGCCAACAGTAGGTAACTTCTCTCAGTGTCTCTCATGACTGTATCTCTTGGGAAAAACATGGAATGAAAAGTGTGCAGAGCTGTGTGCACTTTCATGCCGTTGAGTATCCTTGTTTCACCCTTTCTATGCACCTTTAATTTGGTCTTTTCAAGACTCCTGTTACAGAAAAATAATGTAGAGCCTTTTCAAAAGCTTAGAACAGAAGGCTTTCTGTAAGTTTATCTACTATCTCTTTCAGAGTTTTACAAGCCATTAAGTGTAGAAACATCCGAGACTGCATTGGTGCACGGCCACTTGAATCGGGGCTTGTGCGGAACGAATGTCTATCACACCAACCCCTTTAGCTTCGACAGATTAAGAAAAGATGCTTGGGGAGAAGGGACGGGGAGGTGCAAGACAAAAGGGGCTGCTCTCTGAGTTTCCCCATGATAAAACTTGCACAGTCAGCTCCCCATTATTTACGGGGTTATTATCCAGCCCGGGCACAGACCCAGATCGTTAACCTAATGTGAGAGGTCATCAAACACTGCTGCCCTGCCTAGGGTAAGGAAATCAGAAAATGGGAAGTTTATTCTTCCTCATGGTCCTCTTTCACCAGCCAGGCCAGGGGAACAATGCTTATTCAGTTGTTAGATGACAAAGAGGTAGTGTGAGGGCAAAAGAATGTGGTTTTGAAAACCAGAGTATGTGCAGAATCTAAATTCTAACGCAGCTGGGACAAATGTAAATTCGTGAGAGAAAAACACTCATGTACCCAGACAGTTGTAAACCTTGGAGAGACAGTCCTTTGCCCAGCGGTGAAGGTGGCTGGAGCTCAGTGTGCAGCCTCTAAGATACTAGCAAAATGGAAGATGTCCCGAAAGTTACTGGTTTTGTACCAATATATAATGCAAGCGTTGATTCTCTTCAGCTTAAGTGCATTGTACTTAAGGTAGTTGTTGGGGATGAGAGTGGTGTATAGGCAAGCAATTGTGTCCTTTTGATCCCGGCAAATTCACTGATACCCTTTCAAACAGGGCCTCTTGAATGAGCAGCCTTGCCTTAGCTCCTCTAATTTAAGAGCTGGTTTTACAGTCAGGCCTGGGTTGTTTCACCTTGGCAGTGAACCTCAGCTAACCTATGGATAGCACTTTACCCTTCACAGAGCACTTTAAAAAAATAAATAAATTCCATTATCTTTTTGGCAGGCTTTCTTACATAGTAACACTTTGTTGAGATTGAATCTGAAAATACTCATGGCTGTCAGCCTCCAAATCACTTTCTTCTTTAGAATGTTCACAGTGGCTGCTGTGGAGATAGGAATAGACCCTGGGAGGCTGGACATTGGGGTTCTGGCCCCAGCTCTGTGTTTGACTAGATTTAACAACACAGTCTTGGAGGGCCTCCTCGATCAGTGAGGGGACTAATGAGGTGCTACTTCTCAGCTGTTGTACAAGGTAAGGGGGAGAGGAGTTTGCTAATGTGTGTGTGTAGGCAAATTCAACAGTTAATATAGTTGCCATTCAATACATATGTTTATGCATTTTCCAAACATCCACTGAGCACCTACTAGATGCCAGGCACTGCTAGAGGCACAAGATGAATGATATAAAAGGCATTTTCAAATTAAAAGCCTGTTTGGGAGATTGTGCTACATATGATGACCCCTTAAATGTTAAACACCCTACATCCCAACTCAAACACTGTCTATTCTGACCACCCTGACCAGAGGCTCGGGAGACTGAAGTGGTTATCTACTACCTCTTGGCCCAGTTGAAAGTTAGCCCCAGGGACATTAATTCTTCAGTGAACTTCTAACAGGAAGAGAGGAGGGTAGGTGCAAGGATCATTGTGCCTGGAGCTATTCACAGACACAGTTAACTCAGTGGGCATTGAGCCAGCATCACTGGTGTTTCTTACATGCACCTTAACAACAGGCAAGACTCTCCTAATGACCTGGTTTGCTTGTTTCCATACTTAAGGGTGGATGGGACTGTTTCTCTAATTCAGTTACCATGTGCCAATTGCCTCTTATGTGTAAGACTGTGATAGACACTTTGGAGGTGAGAGGGAGTCACAGTGAAACCCATATTGCCCCTAAGCAGCTCACAGGCTAGTGGGAGCAAACGTGAAACTAGAATACAAGATACAACATTAAATATGAGTCATTCAATAAATAGTGCTCATTCTATGTCAGGTACTGCTCTCGAATTGGAGGAAAACAAACAAATCTTTGTTCTTCCACCTGGGAAGGGAAATGGAAAAAGAAATGATAGTATTTGTTAGAAAGTACTAAGTACTATAGAGAAAAATCACAGGAAGTGACAGTGAATGATGGGAGCAGAAAGCACATCATGAAATAGGGAGGTCAGAGAATGCCTCACAGTTGAGCAAAGTCCTGCAAAAATAACTGCCAAAGCTTTGAGCATACTTACAATGTTTATGGAACTAGCAAGGACTGGGCAGCTGGATAGAGCATAGTAAGACATAAAGTCAGGAAAATAACTGGGTTATTATCACCTATGACAGGAGTTAGGGCTCTGGGATTTACCCTGTTCATGTTCAGCTGTTGAGTTTTTTAAGCTTAGAAGTGACATCATTTGAATTGTATTTTAAAGGATCATTTTGATTCTATGTTGAAACAGACTGTAGGGAGGAAAGAAGGA